GTTCCAAAAATTGTTCAAGGACTTATTTAACATATTTTGGAATGTCCAATGACTTATTTGTTCCAAAAAATTGTCCAAGGACTTATTTAACATGTTTTGGAATGTCCAAGGACTTATTTGTTCCAAAAAAAAGTCTAAGAACTTAATCATTCCAAACAAGAAAGTCCATTGGTTTTTATTGTACTTTTCCCTTAAATATTTAATTGTAGTTGGATCGAATCCGATTGAAATTTTTGTGGTTGGTTGGTGCAGAACCAACTAATATCCAATTAACCATCTGATGACCTTTATTACTAAATGGAAGAACATCCATTGGATGTCGGATGGATCCAATCCAATTAATATTAGTTGGATCTAATCTGATCCAGTAGATGGAACCGAACAGATCCTACCAAGACTAGAAGAAAAACGATCTTCAGGGAAGGTTTTATTTTGTACTTTAAAGTCTTAAAAGCTTCTCTAAAACCTTTATATAAGCTTTTCAATTCCGTCAACAAGCTTCTCTATATAACGGTAGATAAAAATCTTAAGGAGGGTTTTCGAATAGTGTGTTTTTCTTAGTTTTTAGAGACGCTTTTTGTGGCTTTAGATACACTTTCAGAGCTTCTTCATAGGTTGGTCAACTTTTTTCAAAAGGTTCTCTAAAATTGTTTATTAGTGACGTGTTTCAAGTATTTATAACGGTTTATAAAAGTTAGTAAAATATATTTTTAGAGAAGGTATATAGAAAAATTTCTCTAAAGATATTGACTTTCAAAAGATTTCCAAACAAAATGTAGAAAATTTATCCAACAACTGAATAAAAAGCTTTATGAATTGTGTCGCCATGCACATTTGACACTTCCGAACTACATAAGCTTCATCATTCTATAAATCAACACTAGGCAATGAAGTTTGACAACATTATAGGAAAGTGTCATACAAACCTTTGTTTAATCGAGGCAAGCAAAAGCTGCTAAAACAATGAGATATGGTTCAGAAAGTGATCAAGTGTAAATGAATGCATTCTGGGAACTTCAAGAGAATCAACTGAAGTCGAGCTAAAACTTTTAATAGAACAAAACTGCAAGACGTGCCTCCTTGCATTTCTTTATACCCATAAAAAAAATGCATCCAATTAGAGGAAGTGAATGATAGTGCATGATACCACAAACATGAGGAACCAGATGGGCATACTTACTATACTTGCATTTCTTGAAATTGATGAATTTCTCGAGCTTGTATAGTAGGCTCACTGTTATCTCCGGCATTTGTCTACACATATGAAAGATATCCATCATCAAATATATAATAATAACTTGTCTATCCAAGAACTTTACCAACATTTCAAGGTTGGAAACCTGCAACGACCAAACATTTAAGGTGGTCTACCTGTTACCTTTATCAACATGAACAATTTATATGTACAACTAGAACATGAAATTAACAATAAAGTTCCTGAACTATACATAAATCCACATAAATAAATATACAATAATCTAATATATATATACTATATAGAAGAGTGATCATATGAAAACCGTCCTCATTTGTGTAAACCGTGCAAACCACCTTCATCTGTCGATTTCATTGTCTAATCTTATGAAATTTTTTCATGAAATTGTTTAATCTTGTGAAATTGTTTCATATAATACTTTTTTTGATGAAGTTGTTTCATATATGGTTGTGAAATT